GCTACCTGAGAAGCAGCAGCAGCAATAGAACCCGGAGGTTGCCCTGGCAACAGCTGCCATAGCAACTCAACCAGCAGTCTTCGCCAGCAGCAGCTACAAACAGCCGCAGCGACCAGCACGCTTCCGTATCTGTCACCAGAGGGCAGCTTTCGCCTCAGTAGTAGCAGTCTCTCTCTTGTGGCAGACAATATTAAGCACAAGCAGACAGCACTTCCTTTTTGACAGATCAGAAGGACCCAACTGATGATTCAGAGAGTCGTAAGAATAGTAGAAGTGTAGTGTCTATTCACTATCAAGGAATGTGTGGGTTTTGCCTGTAAATAAAATTGGATGCCAGTGGTCTGAATGAGATCTTCCCCTACCCATCCGGTAGTCGTTTGGCCAGTGCTTATTGGATGTTAAATGTTACATATTGAATGTTAAAAGTCAAATAGTGTTAAGTGAATGGTTACATTGTTATATAGTCTGTCTTTTATTTGCTGCGCTGCTTTATTTTAAACTGTAATTTTATTATGTTTTATCATGTTTTACTCATTTCTTCTTGTTTTTCTGTAAATACCTAATTCCTTCAATAAACAACTATTTCAGTTTTCGAAGAATTACTGCTTGTGTGTCCATTCTTGAGCGGAAGGCTGTATCCGTGTCCTTTCAGGAGTTAGCAAGACTAGCTTGCTCTGGGAAGCCCTCTGCGGGTCAGAGACAAGCCCCCTGGTAATACTCTGGCAATTCCTTTAGGGCAGGCCACAATCTTGTTTACCCTTTTTGTTAAATTAGACAAATTTGTAGGTAATTTAATTAGCATCTAAATTTTAGGGTAACAATGCCTGACGGTCAGCAACACACATCTGCAAGAGACGGGAGGTGTATGTCCATCTGTTTAGAGCCTGTAGTGAAGCGGCCTGGCTCCCGACGGCCCCTGAGAAGGAGGAGCCAGAACAGGCACCCAAGTGGGCGGAGCCACCGCCACCTGTTCCCGCCCCCCGGAAGTCAAGGGGCGGGACAGGAAGTATAAAAGCCAGGCCCCAGCGCTCAGTTGGAGCCAAGCGGCCGGAGAGAACAGACGCTCCTGCTCGGGCTCCTGCTGGAACGAGCCTCCCCAGAGCCACGTACCCCAAGGCGGACTGGCCGAGCCTCCCCAGAGCCACGTACCCCGAGGCGGACTGGCTGAGCCTCCCCAGAGCCACGTACCCCGAGGCGGACTGGCCGAGCCTCCCCAGAGCCACGTACCCCGAGGCGGACTGGCCGACCCTGCCCCGAGTGCGGTATCCTGAGGAGCAGCCCGAGAGTTCCCCTGCCCCGAGCCCGGAGGAGCGGTCCGACCTAGACAGCCCTCAGCGAACCGAGGAGCCCATGGTGTGGGACCCCGCTGCCGAGCCCGGCGAGGAACAGGTACCTATGGAGGAGGAGGAGATGGGAAGTAGCCCGGGGATAGCCGACCCCGAACCCATGTCAGTGTGTTGCGGTCAGGATCCCCACTGACCCCGTGGCAGACGGACTGCTGCGGATAGGGCCCCGGGCTGGAACACAGTGGAGTGGGTGGGCCTGTGTTCCCCCCTGCCACCCCACGCCGGGTGGCAGTCTCTCCTCCTCCCTGCCTAGGGCAAGGACTGCCCCAGAGCGCTCAGCTGCCCCGCCCTGACTAAGGGCCTGGGCTACCTGACTTTGTTGACGGCC